CAAAAGCACTTAGATGTTAACATCTTCAGAAAGACATTGGGGAAAAGGTGACATTTTAGGTAGCAGGACCCTAGACTACTATTCATAGATTTCATCATTACATCCGTGAGCAGCATTCAAATGCAAACTGGTAGTTATGCAGAACATGAGGGACAATGGCTGAAGAAGCTCATCATAGATCAGGAGGCAACCTGTCGTGTTCTTTCGGTTTTCTTCATTCCCCACCTCCCCGTCTAAACCTCCTGAACACCCTTCAGGGATAACCCTAAGAACAGCTTGTAGCAGTTACCTAGATTGTGAATGGTCACTATGGACCACCCTTACAAAAGAGATTTTCCAGTGTCCTTGACTGCCGTTGCATGAATTGAGGCCTTTCACGCATTCACTATCTGAGAATACAGGAGTAGCAGCAGGTGGCATATCACTCTGTAGGTCTTATCCACAGAATGTGTGCATGTGAAGCAGAATGCTGTTATACAGATGTGCAGTCCATCTGTGACTGCGTGCTGAAGCTGCTCTATCACTGTGAGGTAGGGAGGTATTAAGGTAGCAAAACTGTTGCAATTGTATTCCTATTTCAAGGTTAAATTTATGGTCATTTGACTCCTTTGTATCTCTAAAGGAGCTCACAGAGGTGACAGATTCAGTGCAACAGCTGAGGCCCTCTCCTAGGGCTCAGACAGAAGTGACAATTTTTGTCTGATCTGGCCACAGAAAGCAGCTTATAGCTGTGACCAAACACAAGTGCACAACTGTAGACTTGTGTTTCAGTTGGGAGAAAATCTGACCCCTCATTGCATGAGGTATCAGATGAAGACATTTAAAAATGTAGTGTCTTCTGTAATTTGTGTCTGCGGAGCTCCCAGTTTGTTGCTGTTTTCAGAATGGGAGGGGGGAAAGGGAGCAGAGGAAGTTCAGCATGGTGTTTTGTCATCCCCCCCTGGAGGGTGGGGCGGGTGTACTGCAGTTCCCTTTAAGCGGGGGGGACTCCTATTCATGCCCCCCCTTCAGCACCAGCTGGAGAGCCCCAAGAATGAGCTCCCTCCATTGCCTTCCTCCACTCCCATTCTGAAAACAGCTGGCACTGGCAGAGAGCTGTGGCCATTGCTATGGGAACCTGGGTGCAGGTTTCCAGCCTGCAGCTAAAGTCCCCTCCTCCCTAGAACCAGCAGTGAACTTCTGTTTTGTCTGGGGTAATATTGTAACTCAGAATGCTTTGCAGAAAACGTTCTGAGTTACAGCTGGGAGCTGCACTTCTGTCTGCACTGTTAATGGCATCTCCTTGTCCCCTTTTGAAGTGGTTGGTTGGAGCTCATTTGTTCAGCATTCCACTACATGTTGCATTGTTATCAATATATAAAGCAGTATATAAGTTGTGTGTGCATGGATGGATGGACATATAGATATACATACACACAGACACAAAGTAGTAGAATATATATGTATATAAGCAGTATATATATGCTAGTGTGCAGATGTGTAAGTATACATATTTATCTTTGATAGCTGCCACCCATTTCTATCAACCTATAGTTTCATAGTTTCTAGGGTTGGAAGGGACCTGA